AAGGATGGAGCGAAGTCCTCTGTCCTTTTTAGGAACCGTAAAGTATCGGGAGTAAAATCCTTCATTCAATGAAGATGAAGGAACTATGAGTATGGCTTGTTTTTGTAAAACTGAGGATACTTCTTCATATAGAGCCAATGAGTGGGGAGTGGTCCAAATGATGCCTGAGGGTGGGGTACAGAATAATTCAATAAAATATCCATTTTGAATGATGGATAGGGCCCAATTGTCCTTAGTAATTTTTTTCCATGTCAAGATGAAAGGGTGAAGTCTTGTTCAGAATGGTAGAGTTATGGGTACTGCTTACCCTTTCTCTGTTATCTCCAAAAGGGTTGTCGTCGGCTCTGAGATTGTTGGGGTCAAAATGGCTGAGGTGCAGGTGTCGATGCTGGTGGATAAGATCTTTCTTGAGGTTGCTGCCAAAATGACCGCTATGACTGTTGAAAAGGTAAGTACTGTTGTTGATAGTAGGGATGTTTATGATACTGTGTTTGATGATGACTCTCGAGATACTGTGGAGACTGAGCCGTGGGATGTTGTAGATTATATAGAGGGCGAACGTGATATGGAGATTGATGTCTGCGGTAATGGGTTGCGGGCTGGATGGGTCGGTATCGGTCATGTTTCGGTGTCATGTGGAGAGGGACCTGTATGGGTCATAGACACATGTAGAGAAGTACATCGTTTTGATTGTTTAGTTCTCTTCACTGGTACAGGTGTTTCTGGTATTGCGGACCTTTTAAGTACCAACATCATTGGTTGATGAGCTGGAGCTGATTGTTATTGATGTCTTGTTCGAGATGGTGATATGGTTGGTGAGTGCCATGATGAAGATGCATACCAAACTCGTCTAGGTTCATCATAATAATTTGGTCCTCAAATATTTCCGGATAGTATGGGTCATAATAATGTTGCCTGTGTCTGTAATCAGGTCTGGCAAAATAATGGTGTGGTTCAGCATAATAATATCATTCCCCATGTTGAGAGATATGCTGAGACGGAGAAATATGCTGTGTTTATTCAGGGAGTGTCAAGAAGACTCAGAATCTGACGGTTGGATAAGCACTGCCCGCCCTGATGAATGAGGGCTTGAATGGGCCGAAGCTGGGCTGGATTGAACGTCAGCCTGTGAGTGGCCTGTATTAGGCAAGCCCTGATGAATGAGGGCTTGAATGGGCCGAGGCTGAGCTGGATTGAACATCAGCCTGTGAGTGGCCTGTGCTAGGCAATAAGCTAGCTATAGATGCTGCAGCCTGCGCTGATGTCAGGGTGTGTTCATCCCTGTCAGATGTCGAGACACGGGCCCTCTTGAGACGACTCCTTTAAGATAGGTGAGGGAATCATGACTTATTCATCCCTGTCAGATGTCGAGACAGGGGCCCTCTTGAGACGACTCCTCTAAGACAGATGAGGGAATCATGACTGTGGAGGTTCAATAGTAGTAGCTTTAGATGTTTTCTTTGGTTTCTTTGACTTTATCCTTTTTCTTTTTTGCAGGGTCATCAGGTAGCTTTAGATGTTTTCTTTGGTTTCTTTGTCTTGACTTTATCCTTTTTCTTTTTCGCAGGGTCATCAAAGTGAGTCTGAGCTCTAGAAGTGGAAATCAAGCTCGACTTCAAAGACTTTTGTGTTTCCTTCTGTCTGCCCGGGACTGGTGTTGGGCTCAACATAGAGCAAGCTGTCAGGCTTGATATGGAGCGAGCTGAGTCTGCTCGAAGTGACTCCTTAGCCATTGGTGAGGCTACCACTTCCATACTTGGATTGAGGAATCGCTCCCAAAGGTAAGAGCTCTAGAAGTGGAAATCAAGCTCGACTTCAAAGACTTTTGTGTTTCCTTCTGTCTGCCCGGGACTGGTGTTGGGCTCAACATAGAGCAAGCTGTCAGGCTTGATATGGAGCGAGCTGAGTCTGCTCGAAGTGACTCCTTAGCCATTGGTGAGGCTACCACTTCCATACTTGGATTGAGGAATCGCTCCCAAAGGTAAGATCTGAGGCACTGTAATCTTAATTTGAGTGCCAGTTTTGTCAATTTTTTGCATTCACGATTAGGCTACCACTTCCATACTTGGATTGAGGAGAAAGGGTAAGCAGTACCCATAACTCTGAGGCACTGTAATCTTAATTTGAGTGCCAGTTTTGTCAATTTTTTGCATTCAGGGCACGATTGGGTTTGATGTTGCTCTCCCAAGCAAAATATGAATTTTATCGTGCCCATCAATGAGTGGTACTTTATTTGCTCAGATAACGCACTGCTTAAAGGGGGGGAGAAAAAACACGGGAAGATAGAAAAATGTTGAGTGGGGATAAATAATAAAGGGTAATCACAAGGGAACGTCCAAAAATGGTAATTCAGATCTAAATCTATAGTTATCAATTAGAAAAATCAAACAGTTCTATTAGAGAATACTCGCTATTTCGCGCTGTCGTTCCTATACGTCCTACCAACACAGCGGTAAAAAGGAACTGAGGGGATGTTGGGAGGGTGGAGCATGCGCTGCACGGGGGAACATCTCATTAGTAATCACAAGGGAACGTCCAAAAATGGTAATTCAGATCTAAATCTATAGTTATCAATTAGAAAAATCAAACAGTTCTATTAGAGAATACTCGCTATTTCGCGCTGTCGTTCCTATACGTCCTACCAACACAGCGGTAAAAAGGAACTGAGGGGATGTTGGGAGGGTGGAGCATGCGCTGCACGGGGGAACATCTCATTATTCCATGTTAGGGGATGTTGGGAGGGTGGAGCATGTGCTGCACGGGGCAACATCTCATTGTTACATGTTTTTAAGCTCCAGAAACTTCCGAAACGCTCTGCGCAGGCACAGAACAACCCATTTGTGTGCATTCACAGAGGCCATGAAGAAGAATGATTATATTTCAGTATTTGTTTTATTTCTTTTTCACAAATTTTTATGTTGAGATTAAATCTTCCAAAGTAGGCAACAGCATTTTAAAATCAGAAGATGACAAATAAAGTAATGGTCAGAATCCTACTGGGCAGTCAAGCTGGCATGAGTGTGATTATGTAAACCACAGCAGTGAAATCACTGCTTCCCATTCATAGTCCTAGTTCTGCATCACACTGCATGGTTGACATGCCACCAAGAATGCAAGCAGCAGCTTGTTAATTACCAGCAAGAGCCTCATGGCGCAGTGGTTAAACCGCTGTACTGCAGCTAAAACTGTGCTCACGACCTGGGGTTCAAATCCCAGGTAGCCGGCTCAAGGTTGACTCAGCCTTCTATCCTTCCGAGGTCGGCAAAATGAGTACCCAGCTCGCTGGGGGGGGGGGGCAATGTGTAGCCTGCATAATTAACTTGTAAACTGCCCAGAGAGTGCTTGAAGCGCTATGGGGCGGTATATAAGCAGCACGCTTTGCTTTGCTTTAGCAATTTGCTGCCACAGTTTATGCCACTGCACTCACTCCAGTGTAAATCCCCAATAAGATTCTGGTCAACATAAGAACAGAACTTGCTGTCCTGTCCTATTCCTATTTTCCAGGTTTCATCTTTCCTGGCCAACCCTTACACAGCCAATACAGTACACATACATATGTATGGCTTTCCTTACTCAAAGGTAAGCATGGGAGCACAAACCAGAATGCTTTAGATAATTTTCAAAAAAATTTAAAACCAAGTAAAGCATAAAGTTGAATAAAAACTGTCCCTTGGAGGAGTGTGAAAAGTGTGACTCACCAAATACAGGCACTCCTCACTTAACAACCTACCTGTTTAATGACCACTCAGATTTACAACCCTTTACGACCCGTCAAGCCATGCTTACGTCTTCGCCATGCCCCTTCTCAACAGCACATGATTACTCCTTTATACATTATTATTGCTCCTTGCTTATCAACCTGTCTGTTTAACAACCTAGTCATAAGAATGCAAGTGAGGAGTGCTTGTATTGTTAAACTGCAACTTCCATCATGCAAAGCCAACACAACCAATGAAAAGTCATGTTGGGAATTGCAGTCCAACAACATTTGGAGGTCCACACTTTGCTTACCTCCGCTTTGCCACATGATTTTGTGCAATTTAGAAAAGCAGGAACTCACCTTCATCAAGTGCTCTGTTGATTGCAGCACAAAGAGACCAGTAGCCACTATAGCTTTTGCCTTTATACTTCACCATACACTTATGGTCCTCATGTTCAGACCAAAAGGAAAAATTGAGTGCATCAACAAGGAACACCCAGTTGACTGCATCTTCACCTGTTGACTGAGGGTTCAGCTCATGTGAAGACTTCCAACCATCCACACCAAATTCTTTCTTCAAAACTTTGTCAAATAACATCTCTGCAACATTCTGGACACCATCATCTTTAATGTACACATCTTTGCTGTTTTCTGCTATGAACTTGGCAGATTCTTTAGGGCTCAAGAATGCCTCCATAATTCTTCCTTATATTTCTGAGGGGGGAGGGAGGGAAAGAGTGTTAATCTATACTGTGACGTGCAAGTATGATGGCACCATCCCCAGTTTAAAATATATGATTAGACTAGGCTGACAATATGGCTTACCTTCTTTGTCTCCGGCCCTATATATTTATGCAAATCTAGCAAATGCAAGTAGTGTTTACTCCTAAGTTAGCACATACTGACATATTCCCAAAACCACAGAGTTTTTTTTTTCATTCAAAATGATCACTGATCATAACACAGGTTCTTTAAAAGCCGGCAAATCTTTTGCTCTTGTCTCTGCTGTCTATATGCTGAGTCCAACTGCTTTTGTGGTCATAAATCAGAAAGTCACAATCTGAATAAATGTTATTAACATATAGACAGAAAATCAAGGAAGCAGTTCCTTATGGCACCTATCTGAAGAGAGAGAAAGAGAAGATGGTCATACTGGGAGATAAATGGATGAGGAGTGGGGGGATGTCAAACAGAGCAAGTGGGCTGTAAGTATAAGAGTCAAAAGCAGCACACATATTCTTTATGCCCTGATTGCAGTACTACATGTGGTTTTTAATCGTTTAACAGTCAACACAGATCTATCACTAAACTCAATACTTTCGTATCATCTTGGACACAGCACTTTTCAATACAGATGTTCTGCACATGGAGGCTTTGAGTGATAAATCATTGAGTGGCACTCTCATGTGTGAACCAGCCCCCAATTATCTAACAAACAAGGTGAGAAGCGAAGCTGACAACTGGAACAAACTGTTTACCATTCTGTCACAGCATCTTTCCCCACACTGAACAAAAACAACAGTCTAAACTCCTCTAAAGAAACAACAGGCAGAGAGAACATTCAGCCTTTGATTTTTTTTGGCTGTGAGTGCTGGTACAGATCAAAAAAGAGGTTCACGGTTCCTAAGGACCCAGACTCAAAACTTTTGATGGGATGATGTTCTCATTAGAAAGTGTTCATGACAAAAAGAATAAGTTTTAAAAGGAAAACAACGGATCTTTAGCACTGACAAATCAGCAGCCAACCAGGACTCCCAGCAGAGTTACAGTCTATCTTATACTTAGGGAGGCTAGACTGGACCCATTTATTTTTTACTGGAGGGATCTCACTAAATAACAAAGTTTAAGAGTTTCTGACATAGAATATACCATATTTTTCTGTCTATAAGACGCTATTTTTTTCCTAAAATCATTGCCCTAAAAATTACGGGGCATCTTTTACACAAAAGTAAGCTGAGACAACTGAAGAGAGAACAAAACAGCAGGTACCTTGCCTCTCTAAACAGTCTTGCTTCAGCCACCAGGCTTAGTTTCCTACAGTCAGGAGGCTTAGCTTCCTCCAATCACGAGCCTTATGGAACTGATGTCAGCTGACCCTGAACAAACCAATGGGAATACACCTCCTTGGAGGTGGAGCCTGTAGGCTCAAGATTCAACAGAGACAAAATGTCCCACATTCTGAGCTCAAAGGTTGAATCCTCAAAGATAAATTTTCTTAATTTTTGGGTTAGAAAATTGGGAGAGGTGTCTTATAAATGGGGGCATAAACAGAAAAATAGGGTAGTTGATGCCATTTTCTATTCCAGCCAAGCAGATGCTTTGAGAAGAACTGAGAAAGGAGCTGTAGTCCAAAATATGGGGAAATCCAGAATGCTGAAGTCAAGTACTGGAATATAGCTTCCAAATTCCCTAGACAGCACGGTTCCTGGTTATGCCAGCTAGGGCAGCCATCCTCAACTTTTTAGTTACCATAGCCTCTTCTCAGGTTGCAGAGGCCCCTGTCAAACAAGGACACAACACAAACAGATAAACAGAAAAACAGAAAAGAAAATTGTTGTCTGAATCCCCCTTCTAATATGCCAAGGCCTCTCAGGGGGCATAGGGTACCCCCACTGAGAATGGCTGGTCTAGGGGGCCTCAAAGACTTGTTGTTCAAAAAAAAAAAAACTTTTCTGAGATCCCCGAGAACTATCCACCTCTCTATTGACTGGTTTAAGGAATAGAGTTCTCAGCAATTCTGTATCCTGTTTGCCAGCAGAGCACTTTGGCTAGCAGTCCTTTTTCCCATAACAGGTGGCTCATTCTGTCTGAAATGCTTATCTAAGGCTCTTCTGGCACTGCTAAAATGCCAGTGGAGACTGTCGTCCTGTCAAGGTTGCCAGCTTTTGAGGGCTACTAGAAAATCCTGGCTATTTAAGACATAGCAATTTACACCAATTCATACTAGCCAGGAGGTGTAATCAACCACACACTGATACTTCCCCAAGCAAGCGTATCACAAATGGGCTGCCTCTGGGTATGTTTCCAGGGTACCTGGCCGTGGTGGGGACTATTCCCATTGCGAATCCTGCTCCGCACCAGAGGCTATCCAGGTCGGATGGCTTATGGCAACTCACAGCTTTGTAACACAAGACACAAACAACCGACAGACCGCGTGGCTCCCTGCCTCCTGGGCCCGTTCCTTACCGAAGCCAGTGGTGAACCTCGCCCAGGTGCGCGTCCAGCCCCAGGTCACAATCCTGGCCACGGCCCCTCCTGGCTGGCGCTCCAGAACTGTTACAAGACCGTCGTTCCTTCACCGGTGAAAGGAAATTCCCAGTAGAAAGGACAATTCACCTTCGTGGCATGGTTACAAAACGTACAGACCGTCTTCTCCTAAAAGAGAAAATGGTTCCGTCTAGCAATCAATAAACGGTATTCAGTCACCGAACAAGGAGCGAGGAACTCTTGCTGGACTATGGTCGTATGGACAGGACGTGGTGACAAGATTTAACTACTGCAGCGCTACAACGTTCCTGAGCAGGCAACTCTGCACGTTCTCTTCACCACACAAATAACAGGGAAAACAGAAAGAACCGTCTGTTTCCCCCTTAGCAAGGCATACACCGGTCCTTCCCCACCCCGCAAGCCCAAATTCCATTCAGACGCAAATCTGCTCTGCTCCGGCCCTGCGAAAGGGCAAACACTCATCAAAGCTTGACCCCCCCCCACACACACACCCCTCTTCCGTCCCAGCCACGTGTGATGCGCTCAGGCGGGACTCCTTGGGGCCCAAGAACACAACGGGGGCGCCCACACCGATTTTCGGCGTACACTCAGAGCAGACCCACTTGCTTCCGCAGGCACCCGAAGCCCGCTCTTCCGCGAAGGCCGCCGGCAGCGGAAGGCGACGAAACGCCGGCCCTTTTCCCTCCAAGTCCCGAGCCGTCCTCCTCCAATCAGAGACGCCGAGGTTTGCCTACGAAGAGGACTGCAGGGCCCGGGAAACCTCTGCTCCGGCGGATGCGGACGTGCCTCGGGACGACGTGGGCAGCCAAGCCCCGGCAGGAAACGCAGCCCGTCAGCGACATGCACCGGGATCCGGCGGTATTTTCTTTTTGTCTGGGTAAAGTTAGCACTTTGGGTTTATTGCAGAACCGGAGGAAACAAGAGGCCGACTCTGCATGGCTGTGAAGCGTTCAAACCACGCCCACTTGTTCTCTGTGGAACTCGAAGGCTTGCAGTACTTTGTGGTATTCCTAGGTTGATTGCAGTCTCTTTTTTAATCTCCCTGGAGTTGAAGAAATCATTTTTCGCAGTTCATAGAACATCCTTCAATTTCCAGTGACTATTTGGAATGGGCAGGAAATAATAGTTATCGCTGTCAGTAAGCATGCAATAGGAAATTCATCTGAAGACTACAGTATAATAGATTCTAAGGGAATGGAAACGGTCTTACGAACTTTGCAGTTCTATTCCATTGCTTGCAAACCAAAACGATTGTTCTTTCCAAAATTTATCACACCTCATTGGGTCTTGACATCACAGGGTTAAAACAAAAAATTCATTGCAATAGAGCAGTGGTTCCCAACCTTGCACAGCCCCCATTTTGTTTGACCGCCATTCCCTGAAGCCTTCATCACTTATGTGTGGTTTATGGGAGTTGCAGTTTGAAGACCTGGATTTCTCAAGGTTTAGTAATCCTAAACTGCCAAACCTTCATGGCTTTAGCACACCTTACTAGTGGTGACCATTAGTAGAAAGTTTACATCTCAAAAACTGAACATTGTGTCATTTGGACAACACAAATAAATGGGGAACTATTTCTTTGGTTTTCCTGAAATAATTCCGTGGAGCCTGGAGAAAATACTGTACTCTCAAATAGGGAAGTTAACACCTGAAGACTGGATGGCTATTTCTTTGGTCTTCATACTATTGAGCTGATCAATTCCAGTGTATTATGAAAGCAACTTACAGGGTGAAGCACTTAATGCACCATGAAATCAATTCACTTATAGTGACCTTTTTCAGGGTTTTATATCTTCTTTCAATAAACGGACATTATGCGTATTTTCAGGCAGTATTTTACAAGAACTTAAATGGAGATGGCTCTTGCTTGCTAACACAACCATCCTGACTAGATTTTTCAAATTGCAACTGCCTGTAATTCTGCAGCATTATGCAATTGTTATGCACTGTCAAGTTGGAACTGACTTATATTAACTCTAATAGGACTTTCAGTGAAAAAGGAGTGGTTTTACTAATTCTAGTGAGTTTCCATGGCTAAGATGGAATTCAAACTCAGGCCTCCCGAGTCATAGTCTCTCACTCTGGTTCACTACACCATACTATCATTTATAGTATGACAGATCACAGCTTTACTTGTAATGACTTAACATAAGCATTCAGAAATCAGAACACGAGTCATTATTGAAAACTGGATCCTTCAAATCCAGTTGGGTGTTATTACAGTGTTTATTACAGACAAATAAACTTGCAAGCTATCAATGCAAATGCTGAGTTTTAACATGGAAACATCCAGAAGTTCTTTTGATATTTTCTCTTATACAAATCAACCAGGAGATACAACTGTTTCATTCAAGTTTTTATACAATGGAAACATTAACTTACAACTGAAAACAGGCAAAACTGCCAAGGCTAGAATTACTAAACTGATATTCTCTACATTTATTCATTGATAAGTGAACTTCGCAAGATTTTATTCAAACCAACATATTGCAATACAATAATTAGGGACATACATTGGAAGTAACAAAGATAAAGCCATTCAACATACTTCAAAATTCTTCACACGCACCAAGGTCTGGACTCGTGTTAATTGTCAATATCCCGAATTTATTAAAATACTGAAATTTGGTCTTCTGCTTCTCTGGTATGGGGTGGAGGGAGAGAAGCCAAGTTCAATGACTGGTGTAGAGGATGTGTTTTAGCTACCAAATATGCATAAAGAAATGACTGCAATCATTGGTTCACTAAATTTATTTTTAAAATCATAAAACATTTTACAAAAGAGCGTAACATTCTGCACACTTCAAATGGATGCCAGGGTAAGCGGCCTATCAGTACTCTTTTCCCTCTTCAAAACAAAGGAAAAAAGGTATCAAGCAGATGGTTCACATTGTGACAGAAAAACATTACAGTTTACAACCAACATTGAACAAAAATAAAATCCACTTTCTCTGCTGCTGTTTCAAAATACCAATGTTAGTTTCGCAAGCCATCCCGCTCCCACCCACCTATATGTAAAGAACTAAAACATTACATCTGGTGACAGCAAAAATTTCACTACACCTCAAATGCAGAACACCTATGAAGCAGAGGAATGTTGGCTTTTTAAACAGAAGCAGATTTAAGAAAAAAAAAAGATGCAGGACTCCTTCAGTTCTTCACTAGTCTTAGAAAAACTTTCCAGAATACTGCTTCACACTATAAAAAAGAAAAAATATCTTGCATTAGAATCCTTCAACATCTGCATACTGCTTCACACTATAAGGAAAAAGAAAAAAAAGGCATATATTAGAATGGTTGAACAAACAATTTGAATCAATAATTACAATACTAAAATTTTAATTATAATTAGACAAGAGCATATTGGTTAAATTTGACAATTTAATAATTAGTAGCTATTTGCAGTCCAAAATTAAAAGTTATACAATGCAAGATGCTCTCTAGACAGCAGATGTTAAAAGAAGATAAAGCAAGTAAAATCTAGTTACACACGGCAGAAAAGAAAACAATGCCAGTGAGGTGTGAAATGCTGCATTAACAACAACTACAGTTTTCAACTTGTCCTGTAGAGGCATGGCCTGTGCCATATGGTAGACTGCGATTTGTTGTCAGTTTAGTTATCTAAAAACAACAAAATCACTAGTCTTCCACACAGAACTAGACCAACATCCACTGAAATCTTCTATATTTTCTACAGGCTCTATGTAATAGATTGTAAGCAGATTTTTGCAGCAGTTTTCACCAGAGAAATGAGGACTGCTTGGTTAGGGTCACCTTCCAGCAAGATTAGTTTTGAAGATGTCTTCATTGAGTAAGAATGAAAAACAGAAGAGAAAGGCATACTACCAAGTGCAGGTGTTAGTATAAACTAATTGCATTAACTTCTATTGATGCTCTTTTTAGAAATACACATTATATAAAAGAGAAAGTTCAAATGTTAATAGATAGTTAACAGGCACAGCTGAATGCCAACTTGCCTGTTTTGCAGTAAATACTGTGCATTCTGAATCTGGTCCTGTGTGCCTGTAATAGTTATTATCCGATCTTCTGAACCCTCTAAAGGTTCATCAATTTTGATTGAAGCTCCTGATTCATGGCGTATCTGTTTAATTCTTTGACCTCCTTTTCCAATAATAGAACCAGCCAGCTAAAAAGAAAGACAGCTTTTAAATAGCGGCTCATAAATTAAATACAGTAGTAACAATCTACTAAGTTACTACCTCAGCACATACTACCGCAGCTTGACAAATTATTGAACAGGATAAGTGCTTAATATATTCAATAACTAGTAAATGAGGGAGAGTGGCAGAACAAATTTTAACCTATTTCCTTTCTATTCAAAATAAAAGCTTAGAATGGGAACAAGAATATAGGAAGTCCAATATGCTACAGCAACATTATGTCTGATTTTTTAACTTTAAAATATGACCGAGACATTGAGGTTAATATATTTACTTACATCTTTGGGTATTGTTACTTGTGTTGTAATGATGGGTCCACCAAGATCACCGTAAGAACCACGACCCCCTGCATAAGAATAGTCTGATTTAAAACGTATGCATCTAATCCTTTTAATGACTGAATCAAAATTTGTGAACAAGACACATGCATAAAAACTTACCATATCCTGATCCACCCTCGAACTATTAGGAAAAAAAGAATAAGAAAAACAAGTCTTAGCTTCTGTGTTATTCTGAATTTTAACTGCCTTGCGTAACAAGAGGAAGAGGCTCATGGCACAGTGGTTAAGCTGCTGTACTGCAACCAAAACTGTGCTCATGACCCAGGGTTCAGTCCCAGGTAGCCAGCTCAAGGTTGACTCAGCCTTCTGTTTTTCCGAGGTCTGTAAAATGAGTACCCAGCTCACCGGGAGGGTGGCAATGTGTAGCCTGTGTAATTAACTTGTAAATCGCCCAGAGTGTGTGTTATGTGCTATGGGGCGGTATATAAGCAGTGCGCTTTGCCTTTTTTTAATTAAAAAATACTCTAGATGGCTGAAAATTGTAGAATTAGACTTCTTCTGAAAACTGCTAAGTTCAGGTACCCCTATGAGCTTCAGGATCTCATAAGGAATGGCTTGCTTCATAGCCTATCTACCTGACAAACATGAGAGATTACAAGGCCTTTTGCCAAAGACCCCCAGCAATATCAATCAAAGCACTTCTCTGGGACATGAGATACTGAAAAGTACCACCACCAGAGGTCTCATTCAACTCAAAAGTTCTTCCTGATAGGAGTTGAATGTAAAATGAAGTGATTAACAAATATGCAGTGATAAAGGCAGTGTGTTATACAAAATCAGAGCTAGAACAATTCTCATCGTAAAGTTCAGAATTGTAATTCTTCATTCCTCCCATTCACACCATGCTCTACTGTGTGTGGGTAGACTCTATCCTTTTTGTGTAAGGGAAACCCCATTGCTCTGAACAGACTAATCTTCACTGCATTACAGCAGGCTGGAAAGGTTTGCTACAATTCTATCAACACTCACACCTACCCATGGTATCAGTATAAAGTTTGAATAACTTGCCATAGCTAGTTGTAACACAAACAATGAGGGTCCACCTCAGTCAAGTGCCTCATAGTGCAATCGAGATGTGCTCCTGCACCTTGTTAATAAACTGAGCCAATTTATGCAAACCTTAAAACTAACACCAATGTCTTTCTCCATCAATTCAAAGAGGGCCTTCCTAGACATCTGTATATTTTTGGCCCTAGAACATAAAATTATGTAAACACATACACAGGCTTTCAAAACTGAGCAGTCTCAGGAAAGCAGAACACAGGAAAATAAGAACTATTTTTAAAAAATCTTACAGTCTCAAAAATACTAAATCTGGCTGCACAGAAAATTTACTGTATTTTTTTGCTCCATAAGACGCACTTCCCCCCAAATAGTGGGGGAGAAAGTATGGGTGTCTTATGGAACAAATACAGTAAAAAAGGGGTTCAACCACCACCATCCAGAAGCCCCCCACTGCCATGCTGGGAGGCCT